AGACAGCGAGTGCTCCGGGGGGACGAGAAAGCTAAACAGATGATAACGGAGCGGCAGAGACAGAGAGAGAGCGAGTGAGGCGTAAGGAGCACGTTGCGAAGGCCCCTTTTAGTGCAGGAAAGCAGGAATAATCCCTATTAAGATAATTAGTGTTACAGGAGACAAAGCATAATTAAACAGAAACAGGCTATAAACTATGTGCTGTCTAAATATAACTCGTCCATACAAATTCAGTCAGATCACAGAATCCAGTGTCTCCGTGCCCCACACTGCAAGCAGGAGGAGCGCGTGTTCATGCGTGCTTGCGTGTGTGTGTGTGTGTGTGTGTGTGTGTGTGTGTGCATGCAGGCATTAGATGGGGGCGGTATGTTTACAATGAGATCAAGAAAATGCTTGGCAGGACGTCAGCCTTGTAAAGCCCCAGGATTCCACATGGAAAACACACACTCCGCGCCACGGGGAAAACACACACACACTGACAAGCCCACAGAGAAAACAAACATACGGCAAGAGAGCTTTTGGTACACATTGAGGAAGAGATGAGCAGGCGCACAGGGATACAAGCACAGTGACACAGGCAGCGTTAGTCTGGGGTAGCAGAGGGGATTTCTACCTGGGAAAAGTTCGTGTTTTTCATCAGCTTTTATCTTAATGTCAACATTCCCCTCACTTTGTCTCTCTCAGTTTGTCTTCAGCTCCTCATCACAGGGAGTGCTGTTCATTTTTCATCCTCAGTTTCTCTGTAGCCAGCTCTCCTGAGAGTGGAGAGTGTGTGTTTATGTGTGTGTAAAGGTGAATGGAAGTGATGGGTTGCCACAGTACTTTTTTCTGTCTCTGTAAACCTGATAATTCTATCATCATACAGGAACCTAACCCAACAAATTTAATAATAGGGCTGGGAACCGCAACTTGGTTCTAATTTAGAACCGAGTACATAATGCCAAGTACTGGGTACCAACGAAAAAAAAAAAAAAAAACGGTTCCGAAACATGACATAAAAAATTAATTGGCGCAAACAAAAGCTACATATATCTCCAAGGCCATGGCTCATCTGGCTACCTTTCAGGACTTATTTTCATCTGCCAGGAGTCAGGATCTCTGACGTCACACATAAAACACAGTAGTGAGCCGGAGCGCTAGCAAGCATGCCTAGCATGTCACAGTAGCAGTCACAGTGCAAAGAATGGACTGCAGGAAACGGTCAAAAGCCTGGCTTCCCTTTGTAGAAGAAAAAGACCACAAGGCAAATTTAAATGCATGTGGGAAGTTTATTGGCTCCAAGTCAGGTTGCACGTCAAATCTGACCAAACATTTAAGCCATTGTTATTATGCTGAATTAGTTCCAGCATTTTGAGTGTGGGTTTCCTTTTTTAATGTTGCCTGCTGACCACAAGGTGTAAGTGTTTAGTTAACACTCATAAGAATAAAATATTGGAATCGAAACTTGGAGTGGATAAGAAGCTAAACAGATAAGCAGAATTGCAATCAGAATGAAAATTGATAAAATCCAAAAAATACCCAACCCTATTTAATAACCACTACCACATATGACAAGATGACAGGACTTGAGGCTGTTGCACACCAAGTCCATATTTTTTGTCTGAAATTGTTGCACATTTGAAAATTAACACAACCTCACAATGTGCTACTCACATTTACACACTGGCCCCAAAACTTTCGCCCATCTAGGTTGTCAAAAACATCAATTTAACAATATTGATTCTGAAATAGTTTCAATTTTTCTTCTTTAAATTCATATTTTGCAGTGTCGATTCACAGGTACCAGCAGCATTTTCTTGCTCTCTCTTATTGTTTATATTTACTTAAGTCATTATGCTGTAATCTACTAGTAACCAAGAAAAGACAAGCCATTGGTGTCAGTGGTAATTTTGACAGCTATTTTTGATTTAATCTTAGTCTTGAGTCGAAAATGCTTATTAGTTTTGTCACACTGTAGTCATTTCAATTACATTTCATTTAGACATTTTTTCTACAACTACAAAAAATTTCTGTACACTTACAAACATACATTTCTCCAGCGGTGTTTGACAGCTTTAAGGGGTGATATACAAGCACACACTTAGTGATTATCATTTGCAGTAGCGGCTCGTGGTGAAATTGGGTGGGAGGGCTAACGCATTAGGCCTATGGCCTATACTGATCAATAGTTCAGCTGCAGTAACAGAAACATCACAGCGAGATACAGTACCAGATTACAGCAACAATGCACTACAGCAAAACTAGAGAATGAGGCTAACTACAAAAATGTTCTGATGCCAAAAGCTCTCTCTCTCTGAAATGGTTGCTAATCCATCTATTATTGTGTATAAAACGTTATAGAGTATGTATAAACGTTAGAGGGAAGACGGAGGGCCGGCGGGTCCCGGGCCCCCTTCTCCCGTGGGCCTGGGTTTAGTACGGTCGGACAGGCCACCTCCATCATGTAGCGAGGGAGGTGCGTGAGGCAGGCAGGTAGGCCGGCTGGCCGTCGGGCCCCGTTCTGCCGCTGTAGTTGGAGTACTGCCGTATGACAGTAATCACAAAAGCAGTACCGCGGCTCTTGTTTACGACGGTAAGTTACTGTCACCGCGAATACCGCCCAGCCCTACTTGGGCCTACCTTATTTTAGTTTAAGTTTTAAGTTTATTTACTTTATTAATCCCCCTGAGGGGAAATTCAATGTTTTCACTCTTGCTTGTCAATTACACACAGGTCCGAAAGACACACACATGCACAAACAGGACATATACATGCACAAAGTGGAGAGATGTCAGAGTGAGGGGGCTGCCCTTGGTCAGGCGTCAGCCGAGCGGTTGGGGGGTTCGGTGCCTTGCTCAAGGGCACCTCGGCAGTGCCCAGAAGGTGAACTGGCACCTCTCCAGCCACCAGTCCACGCTCCATATTTGGTCCGGACGGAGACTCGAACAGGCGACCCTCCGGTTCCCAACCCGAGTCCCTATGGACTGCGCTACTGCCGCCCCATTTGAAGAGAAGCTCACATCGACGGCTTTTCTGGGATGCAAACAGGTTAATCACCAAGTCACCAAGTCCAACGATTTTTGGATGAGGTCCCGCTCGATAGACAGCATTTAAAATAATCCACCTCATTCAGCATGATGCTAACACTCAACGCTCACTCTCCCACTACAGTAACAGCGGGCAGGCCCTCACTGTACTTCCACACACTGTCATTGGCCAAAAGTCAGTGGCCTGGGCTGAATGAATTTAGCCCAACTGGACAGTAAATCAAGGGGGCTGGTCACGACACCTGTCACTCACGATGTGACAACAATGATTGGAAGCTGATTCTAGGAGTATGGGCTGTACAAAATCAGCTCATTTAGATAAATCCTGCGTTTTTGTGACTATTTAAGTGCTGTTGCTGCTATCAGTTCTAAGGTTCAATAACTATTTTCTTTAATTTAATAATTTTCTTGTCTTTATTGTAAAAGATAAGCAGGGCTTAGCCCTGCTAGCCCATTTATACCAGCCGTCTCTGCTCATTTGAAAAGTTCAACATCTCTATGATTTAAAAAACTCTGACACCACAAATAATAATTCTGAGACAACCACGCTTTGTACCCAGGTTCATTGTTAACTCTGACTTATCCATCTCACTGTTAAGAAGCAGAAAAATAATTAAAGCCTGAATTATTTCTTAATCTGCAACGTGTTAGTCTGGAGGTTTAAACGCATGTCCTCTCACAGGGTTAAAACTAAACTTTCATCTCTGTCAGAGAAAACTTGAGAGTTCAGACTGTTTACTTACAGCACAGCTACATTCACAGATAACTGAACCTCCTAACTGCCAGTCAAACAGCATCAAACCTAAGTGGAGGGCTGCAGGGATCAGCTGGGAAGTCTTGCAGCCGGTGGCTACTTGCTCCACTGCCATTCAGCAGCTTGCAGTCTGAGCTAACCGCTAACAGCCACCATGACTAACCAACTCCACAAATCCATTCAGCAGCTCCAGCATCCACAGTCAGATACACAAAGGTGATAATTTACTGCTGAATTACAGCTCACAACTCGCACCAACAGCTGACGCTGCTCTGGTGTGCATGTTTTTGCTGGCTAGCGAAACATCCTGACACTGACTATTTACTAGACTTTACCAGCCTGTCGCTCATGTGGCATTAGAAGATCATTACTATCATGGATGTTCTCGGCTTGCAATGTCCAATAGTCCAGCACTAACATTTTCGGCACATCCTCTCTCATCAACAAACATAGATTTCATCATCGTCTCGTTTTCTTCATGGAAAAAAGGTCATCATAGTTTTAGTCAATGAAATTAACACTGACTGGTTGTTTTTTCGTGAGTCATCACACGTTTCCAGCAGCTTTTCTGCCACCAAACATGGGTGTTTTTTAGTGACCCGATGTTGTTTTTCTTTTGTTTGTTTTTTTACAACCGTGATTGTGCCACCAAAACAAAGTACTTTAAGCTAAAACATGATCTTTTTCCTAACCATAACCAAGTGGTTACTAACCCCATAGTAACTTCAGTGTTGTTTAACTGTAAAGTTTCAATATATCTAGGACATGATAATGTACAAATATAACATATTTGTGGTTTGCAGAAATGGAAAATGACAACACTTTTCTGGGCTGCATAACCATCTCAAAAGAATATAATATGGACGCCAGCACCCACCTGACCCAATTATGCCCAATTGAATAAAGAAAGAATGTGGACTCTTGGGTTTTTTAATCTGATGTAGTGCAGTTCTTAAACTCCACAGTTAGACCCAGTAGGTATGTATCATACAGTAATGGGAGCCTCTTGACATAATCATTTGGTTGCTCTAATCAATGTTTAAATCCCACACTGGTGTTTGTATTCAGAGATGCTGAGATCAATGCCTCTACCTCACTTGCACACACACATAGGGTTATTTAAACTGCTCAGTCTTTCAGAAACCTCACAGCGGACCCACCTGCTCCTGTGACGCATTTTCTTTTACATTTATCACACCAAACATCACAGTGAGTCTTACCTGGTTCTGTGCAATTTTTTTCAGGCTCGGAGTAGAGCTTTGACTCATTGTCATACACTTCCTGTAGAAGGTGACGACTCTCCCACCTCGCGCCCTCCTCAACCACCGAGCTGGAAACATGATATCCTAATAGAGTCAGAAAAGATGGAAACAGAGATGATGGAGGGGTTAGAATAGTTTCAATAACAACTTAATCACTGCAAACAAACCACCAGACAAACCATTAATGGCAGCTCTATCCCAAGGCAGACACCAAATGTATCACACTGTGTTCAGGAAACTTGGTTTTACGTAACAAAACAGTAACACTGTCACAGAAATCTCTTATGTTTTTTTGTTTTGTTTTTTGTATTTTCTACAGCTGACAATTAGGTAGTGAGTTTTTATGCTTCAAACAGATACATGCTATGATGCCCCTCCTGCATTCACATACACAAACAGACTAATGGCTGGGATGCCTGAGTTCTCAGTTCCGTAGTTTACTGACATTCCTGAATACTCCAAACTGTCCCTCTCCCAACAGAACAAAGGCAGATGAGACATGCATCTTGTGTCACCACGTTCCTGCGGGAGCATTAGTACGGCAGCACGCTGAGCACTGCAGGGCCGATCATTCCAGCTCAGTCATCTGGGTCACAGTATCCTCAAGCGCCCCACCTCCGACCCATCTCCTTTCCCACCATGCAACAGGCCCCGACTTAGGTGCAGAGCACGCTGGGGCTTCTATAAATAGCATCGAGTTTGACTATATTTATCAAAACGCAGAGACAAAAAATGTTTGCAAACAGCTATGTCATGGGCAGAAGGAAGAATAGAAAGGCAGAGAGCACGAACAGGATGATCTGGAGTGATGACTGTAGTTGTTGTAGGACGGTGGATGTGTGCTTGGAAGCATGTTAGGCTAATAAACTGTGTAGCCCAACAACCATCCTTGAGCCAAAAAGCAGAACTGTTACCTCCTCACGAAATATTTTGATTGATTATTATGTTTTATTGAGCTCTGTTTCACATTGATGGCAATGTTGCATTCCCACCATTCCTAAATCATGGCGGTTACTATAAAGGGTCAGTACAATTAAATTACTTAAGTTTTTGTTTTCCTCTTACCCCTCTTCCTTTTGCCACATTGCCAGTGTAATGCAATAATGTGGGTCTTGAAAGGTCTTATTCTTGCCTGCTTTTGCTGTTGCATATCTGCATGTCTCTACAGACACCTGTTGATCAGTGGAATGGCATGAAACTGTTAGACAGGACTGCATGTCATGTCACCAGTTTGAACATGTGTGCCTCTACATGTGCATGGGACAAACAATACATGGACAGACTCATTAAAAAAAAATCACCTTAGTTCTACTCGAGGTCAAAACTTCACAGAGAACCTTTAACCAGTGTATTTACTTTACTTTTTTAGTATCTATTGTATTTTAACTGCTGTCTATTTACCAAGCTCAATCCAATCAGAATCAATGTTGGCATTGTATATTTCTGCAACCACTGATACATTATATTTGTACATCATTATGTAGTCAATATGTTAAAACAACGCTAATGTGTGGTTTGGTTTAAGCACAAAAATCATGTGGTTATGGTTAGGAAAAGTTGTTTGTTGTTTTGTTTTGGCTTAAATTGCCCAGTATTGTTGGCACAATCCTCTTGGAAAAAAAATGACTGCTCTTAGTGCCACTATCACAGCTGGAAAAACAGCAACAGGTTGGGGGCTAAAAGCTGCTGTTAAAGGAGCTAAGTCTACTACTTGCTACTGAGGTATTTGACCAGGGTTGACGCGCCTGTTGCTGGACACGCTACGCTACCTTCGTTATCCAAATGCCTAATCAGAGTCCATGAAGCTTCTTGCGTTGCATCATCGTAACATTTATTCCACAAGTGCATGGCAAAGTCCATCTGTTACATACACATTAACGTTCAGTACAAAACAAACAAACAAACAAAACTGTAGCGTTCCGCGCCATTGCGGTCAAAAACCATTTGCCCTTCCGGGCCAAACACCTGATGACCATAGTGAGGTCACATCCTAAATACCTGAACTCACCAGGTGACAGTACAGTGCCCCCCCAATTCCGACACAATGAATTACACAGTTAAAACAAACCTCCCAATAACATATTTGGCTCCTGTGGCTGCTGTAAAGGCAGCTTTGTTGTTTGTAGGTCTTGAACAGTGGTCTGCAGCTTGGCAGGAGTCTGACCTTGGTGTGACGCCATCCACCATCCGCTCTACTTTCTGATGACAAAATCAGCTCATATAATATGTCACTTTAGATATTTTGATATGATACACAGTAAACATGCAAATGTAATGCAATCATGACTTTTAGAAATGTACAGTGCAAAGATTTTGTTCTGCTGACTGTGCTGACCAAATAACCCCTCTGGGACATTACTGATGTACTGTATCAATTGTTGCTGATCAGTAGGGCTGGGTACTGGTACCCAATATCCAATAAGGTATTGATCAAAATACCCCAGTACCAGGTAGTATCAACACTTTCCCAATCAAATGATTCCTGCATCAGATCCTTTTTGCACCCAGAACTAGAACTAGACAAGACTAAAAAAGACTATTTGTACGGTTTTGTCGTAGCCAATCACCTCAAGTGTTCTTTGATATAATGCAACATGTGATTAGCCCACTACTGGAGCTAAAACCCATACTGTCTATGGTATGGTGAAGACGAGAATCGTGAATTTGATCTACTTGGCAGTTGATTGTGCCAAGTTGTCACCAAAATGTTTAAAATATGGTGGCATTTTACACAATTGAATGCTTCAATTCACATGATGGGTATCTTAATAGAAAGAGAAATAGGAAGGAAGGTATTACATGAAGTAGTCTTTTGGTTTCGGTATCACTTCTCTGGTACTGGTATTAGTACAGGTATTGTACTTTTTTTAACCATACCCAGCCCTAGAGCTGGGCTCATCAACTATGTACAAAATATCGATATATTTTCAAGCAAGATATACATTTAGACAGCACCTTTTATATCGATATAGGGTCAAGTTGCCTTAAATAATGCCGTTGTTTTGATAAGCCATGACAGTGTTCATCTCTCCTTTCTCACACTCTCTACACAGCTCTGCCCCACTCATCCACTATCAAGTTCTCCAGCAACACTAAGAGAGACACAGAGCTGCCCCTCTGTTTAAATTGTCTGTAAATTAGTCGTAAATTAGTGTGACATCGGTTTATATGTTGCATGTGCAATGCTAAATCAGTCTGAGATGGACGAAATGACCATAGTACACGTGCAGTACAGTGCTGCGCTGCATGTGTGGGAGACAAAGCTATTTGATTGCGTCAGGTGAGCATTTGTTAGCTAGTTTGTGTGTGAGTAGGATTACAGCACATCTCTGTTCTTCTTGGTGGTTGTAGTCTATTGTGTGACACTGAGACAGTGCCTGGATGCAGCCAACAGATGTCCAGCACCAACACAGACATTTCCTATACAAGACGTACAGTATATAACACAGACAAAGCGTCTCTCGCTCTTTCCCACCCTGGGCCTTTGTGTTGATGCTCTGTGAATACAGTAAATAAGACTAAAAGCCTCAATTAACAAAAATATTTAAATAATTTCCCAGCACTAGATTCATTTATTCAAAGGCCATGGAAAACGACTTTTTAACTCCCTTTTGTGTCAAACTACAATGGATTTAGGCCAACTTAATACTTTTATAGTCAAGTCATAGTTTTGTGTCCTGTGCTGCAAACCTTTAAACCTCTGTAGATCCAGTGCTCTGTGCAAAAATGTAATGTACAGCCCTGCTATTTATCTTATATCATTTTTCATTTACATGTTGTGCAGCTGTATAGTTTCAAACAGGGAAAAAAATCCCTGTCTTTGCATTTTATTCTGATTTAGTCTGTTTTTATAAAAGTGACTGTGACATCTCAAATGTGCTTTGACTTGAAACTGAACATGTAGTCCATTTTGTAGAGAATACCAAGATATACCTTGTATTGCCAGTCAGCCTGAAAATACCAAGATATAATTTTTTGTCCACAGTCGCCAGCCCTACCCAGCCCAACTGATCTCATTGCAGGATTGCTTTAAGACAATATTAGTTTCACGATTTTTTTGCATCAGTGACGTGATAAAATCCTTGATTTAGTCCCAAACAGATATTCCCCTCTTATTAGAAAAAAATGCAACTGAAGGTGTGCTCTGTTTCTGGAGAGGGATGTTGCTGTTAAATGATGTCATGTACAGTCATTTTTCAATGCTTTGAGCATCACAAACAAAATTTTATTCAGCATCATTGTATTTGATTATCAAAGACATCTCAAAACCTGGACAATAAAACTGAAACCCTCTGCATGAATAGATACAATCAGAGGTCCACGAATAGATCCTTGAATATCAGCTGCAAAAGAAATGTTCATTTTACGTTCAACCAAACACAATGCACAGCTGTGCTGTGACACTTGCTTACAGTGTGTATTGTTCTACAAAGAGAACTGAAGGGTGAAATCTGCCAAGCTCCATCAGCGCCAAAGCTTCTATACAGCTGTGACGCCTTTTGCCCACTTACTGTATGCTCTTCCCCTGAGCCAATGCTTCTGTGTGGGGTTGTGTGTGTGACATTAATAGAAGACTTTGAACAACTTTTAAGTTTGAAACACACTCAACATACTCCTCAGGAATCCTCTATCTCTTGTCATTACTCAATAATTTGAGTTTGTGCACCATTAGACAGCACCAACAAACACAGACCCAGACACACACACACACACACACACACACACACACACACACAGCAAGCAAGAATCAACACAGTGAAAGTACGCACACACTCATCTGTGTGAGATGCGTGCAGACACACTTAACGTTTAAACAGACAGACCTTGGTGAGTATTTTAGGTGGCTGGTGATCCATTGAAGCAGAATGCATCATCACTGCTGAGGTTACTATGGTGATGTGACGTAATAGATAAGATGCAGGCGGTGGGTGGTGCGTGACATAACACTGAGTAACTCACGCACACACACACACACACACACACACACACACACACACACATGAATGACTAACCAAACTACAAGCACATGCTATAAAATGTGCTGTGCAACAGCATCAGTCACACAGGTGAACACACTCAGCAGC